TATGGTATAGACCCCAGATTTGACTCCTGTGATCTCGCCTTATCATTTCCTAGCTTAGTCCCTGGAAGGTTGTTTAACTTCTATAAGTTTCTCCCCATTCCTGAGTAAATGAGGGTAATAATGGTACCTGAGTGATAAGATTGGTGGGGCGATTAACTGAAATATTTTTTTTCCTTCCCCAACTTGGACTCTCCAGCTGGGGCCCTGTAAACTAGACAAAAAGGTTAATGAGGGAAAGGAAGTTTATTAACATGTCCATTGCAAATACACATGGGCACACTCAGAGAGTAACTCAAAGAGGTGTTAGAATTTGGGCTTATATGGCATCGTAAAAGAATGAGAGAGAAGTGACAAGACAAAGAAAAAGGAGTTTGAGCCTGTAGGGGTGGCAAATTGTGGGAAGGCAAATATATGGGCAAACTAACTGTAGATAAGGTCTAGTTTTAGCAAGGTTTTTTTCTGTAGATTCCTCTGGGATAGATTTCTCCAGGCTAGTAGAGTCTAGAGGGATCTCTTGGGGTTAGCTTCTATCCTTCCTGGTAGAGAAGTAAAGGGAGACACCTTTACACATTTATGTCCTATTTTCAGGCCTATAGAGGGAGGGCAGGGAGTTGTGCTTGTATCTGCTTCTTCTCAGTTGTCTTCTGCTCAAAATAATCCTTATGCGAAAGTGGCATATTTTGGGGTGGCGTGTTCTACCACCCTGCACATATAGAGAGACCTATCACAGGACCTGGTACATAGGAAAGACTCAATACATGCTAGTTGGTTTTACTGTTATCATCACAGAAAATCAGTATCAGTTATTTCTCTAATGGCTGACAAATCCCATTTATCTTATCTATTCAAGATTTTCTTATAGTTCTAGGGGTCAAACACTCTGAAAAAAATTTTATTTTATCTTTTTAAAAGATTTTATTTATTTTTTTGACAGAGAAAGAGAGATAGTGAGAGAGGGAACACAAGCAGAGGGAGTGGGAGAGGGGGAAGCAGGCTTCCTGCCGAGTAGGGAGCCCGATGGGGGCGCTCGATCCTGGGTCTCTGGGATCATGACCTGAGCTAAAGGCAGACACTTAATGCCTGAGCCACCCAGGCACCTCCCCCGTGCAATTTTTTTTTAAAGATTTTATTTATTTGAGAGAGAGCAAGAGCAAGAGCACAAGCGGGGTAGCAGCAGAGGTGGAGGGAGAGAGAGTCTGAAGCAGACTCTGCACTAAGCGCAGAGCTTGGGTGGATCTTGATCCCAGGACCCCAAATCATGACCTGAGCTGAAACCAAGAGTTGGATGCTTAGCCGACTGAGCCACCCAGGTGCCCCAACAGTCCATGAAAATTTATGGTTATAATCTCTCTCTCTCTTTTTTTTTATGGTTATAATCTTTTTTTTAAAAGATTTTATTTATTTATTTGACAGAGATCACAAGTAGGTAGAGAGGCAGGCAGGGAGGGGGGTGGAGAGCAGGCTCCCTGCTGAGCAGAGAGCCCGATGTGGGGCTCGATCCCAGGACCCTGGAATCATGACTGGAGCCGAAGGCAGAGGCTTTTAACCCACTGAGCCACACAGGCGCCCCTTATGGTTATAATCTTAATAACATCTGATCTGACGAGCTGAGGCCAGAAAAGGTTGTTGAGAAAAGGACCACAAATACTATTATAACTAGCATGCCACCTGTGCAGGTAAACATGTCTTTCCAGTTGATTCCAGGTGCTTCATTTTCCCTTCTGGTTATTTTATTCTGAAGGTGGAGGGGTGCTGTTTCAGGGTAAACATTTTGTCAGCCCGCTTTTCTTTGTCCTGACTTGGCCTGTCAGTTCTTCTCACGCCCTTACATTCCATTTTCTGCAGGTATCTCTTACCTGGAAGCTTTGGTATTTGTGAGTCTCCCTTATAAAAACCCAAGAACAAAGACAGTGATTGAGTCATCTCAGCAGTCTGGCTCCTCAGAGTCATCAGGCTCTTATCACGTTTTAGGAGCTGCTTGAAATAACCACAACTTCGTCTGTCTCTTTTCCTTTTTCCTTAATTATAAAACAGTAATTTTTGGCCATTTCAAAGATATGACATAGTACCGAAAGTATAACGAAAAAAAATCATCCATAATCCTACATACAGAAGCAATCACTGAATTTTTGCAGTTGAATTTGGTCTCTTTATGTTATTGTTATTTATTATTTTGTTTTTGTTTATTAAGTATTCTCTACATCCAATGTGGGACTCGAACTCACAACCCCAAGATCAAAAGTCCGACGCTCTTCTGACTGAGCCAGCCAGGTACCCCTATGTGCTTACTATTTTAACATGGCTGGAAGCATTCTATCTGTACTTATCTATATCTTTTTTTTTTTTTTTTGCTTTATCTTCTAATAAAAACATTTCTCATTGTCAAAATATTTACATTTTAAATAGCTCCACAGTATCTCATTGTATCATAGTTTACTTAAATTAGTCTCACTTTGGAAATTTAAAACCCTGTTTTCTTGATCTATAAATAGCAATGGTAATATAAATAAGAATGTATTTATAAATAATAATGCTGGGGCACCTGGGTGGCTCAGTCTGTTAAGCGTCAGCCTTCGACTCAGGTCATGATCCCAGGGTCCTGGGATTGAGCCACACATCAGTCTCCCTGCTCAGCAGGGAGTCCGCTTCTCCCTCCCCTGCTCCCCTTGCTTGTGCTTTGTCTGTCAAATCAATCAATCAATCAATCTTAAAACAAACCAACAAACAATGCTATTATGGAATCATTTGCCCCAAATGGAATCATTTGCCCCAATAAATTTCTGCCAGTATTGAAGGTTATTTATGAAGACAGGGTTTTAGACTTACAGTGACAAAGGCTCTGTGACATAGTGCCAGACTTTTCCCTGAAAGTTTACATGAATTTTCAATCAAGAGTTACATGCTCTACAAACTGAGCCAGCCAGGCACCCTGGAACCTATAGGATTCTTTATGTCCTTCAAGCATCTAGATGTTTCCCCTTATACTAATTTTCAGAGTTTGCTGAACAATTCCTTAACCATGTTGAATTACCTTTCATTTTGGCACATTCCCTTCAACCTTTATATTCCTAGACAGAAGAGCCTGGCTTTTTGGTTTTCTTGAAGAGTATCTTTCACCTTTAATTCTATTTGCAGAGAATAGCAATACAGGAGATATTTCCTGTGATTTGTATAGCTGTATCTCAAAATTAAGGTGTATATATGTGGCACAGATTCAGGTGCATTTTAAGCTTGTGAGTACGTGAGATAAATTGAGAAATTAGGGATTAATTGGTTTATTTCTCCATGTTTATTCCAAATTGTGGTATTTTATACCTCAGCTATGTTTAACTGATAGTTTTTTCAGAATGATTCTGTTATCGACTGCTTTCATTGCTTCCCATTGATGTGTTCCAGGAAAATGAGGATAGGCTGAGAATTAGCCTAGGATTTTAATCCTAATGTTAATTGACTTGTCTAATATATATAGCACAGGTGGTTCTGGGTTGTCTTCTTTTTTTTTTTTTTTTTGTTAAGGATTTTATTTATTCATTTGTTTGCTATCAGAGAGAGAGAAAGAAAGAGCACACAAGCAGGGGGAGCAGCAGGCAGAGGGAGAAGCAGGCTCCCCACTAAGCAGGGAGCCTGCTGCGGGACTCAATCCCAGGATCCTGGGATCATGACCTGAGCTGAAGGCAGATGTTGAGCTTACTAAACCACCTGGGGCCTCCTGGGTTGTCTTCTGACAGGCTCACCAAGCTTGGTGTAAACGCTGGCTTATTCTTGGGCTTGAATCAGGAGTTGGTGGCAGTAGGTCCTCATGCTGACCTCTGATGGCTTCCAGCGAGTTTCTATGTTCAGAGCTGCTTTTACGGTGTCTTTGCCTAAGCCAGTTTATACTCTCCACTTTCTTCAAATAGTCAGATTTTTCTTAAAGATTTATTTCTTTATTTTAATGGGGGAGGGGCAGAGGAAGAGGGAGAGACTCAAGCAGACTCCCTGCTGAGTGTGAAGCCCCCGGTTCAGTCTCACAACCCTGAGATCATGACCTGAGCCAAAACCAAGGTTTGGAAGGTCAACCAACTGAGCCACCTAGGTGTCGCTCAAATTGTCAGATTTTGTTTCACATTTGTATTTTATTTGTATTTTTTCAAGATTTTATTTATTTATTTGAGAGGGAGACAGAGAGCACAAGCAGAGGGAGGGGCAGAGAGAGAAGCAGACTCCCCGCTGAGTGGGGAGCCTGATGTGGGACTTGATCCCAGGACCCCAGGATCATGACCTGAACCAAAGGCAGATGTTTAACCAACTGAGCCACCCAGGTGCTCCTTAATTTGTATTTTTATGTAGCAAACATGCTCAGAGCATTTTGTCATGGAAAATAACTTGCTAATCCAAAAATAAACAATGCATAGCTAATATTCCTCTGAAGACAGGTAGAGGTGTTTTATAAAGTGTACCTTGTCACCAACCATTACCCCATAAATAAACTTTCTGCTCTCTGAGAAAGGGTGTGGCATCTGCTCTTTTGTAGGTTTAGTTTCATGGAACCATATTTTTCTTGTCTGGTTTTCCAATGAGATGTGTGTCTGTGTGGTTAAGACAAAGAGAAGGGCCCCTGGGCCATTGCGGTCAGAGGCTGGCCTCAGACTATCCCCAGCCTTCAAGACAAGCTCTTTATTACATTCTCTTCCAGAATTCCCAGACCTCATCACGAGACCCAGGGGTGTGGCATCCCAAAGCCGACTCTGTTCTCCAAAAGAAAGTGACAGCTTCCTTGTATTATTTTGGGTACAGAAATGAGTTTTCACATGTTTGATGAAACAATTCAGGTGTTTAATACCATATTATTCTTTTTTCTATTTTTCTATTCAGGTGTTTACTGGCTTCAGATACAAATTCTAGTAGAAAAAGAAGACAAACTGAGGGGTGCCTGGCTGGCTCAGTCAGTAGAGCATACAACTCCTGACCTCAGGGTCCTGAGTTCAAGCCCTAGGTTGGGTTTGGAGCGTACTTTAAAAAAAAAAAAAAAAGAGAGAAATCAATAAAGAAGAAAAATTGAGACCAATTCTGAAGCACTCCTGAAATGATCGATCCTTGCTCCCTCCTGACATTTTCTTAACTGAACTTTTGCTTTAATATTTTCAACAGAAATGTTTTGCTAATGCGAGGGGGAGTGGCTTTGGCTTAACGCCTTTGTTTTTTCCAGTTAGCCTTCCTCTTCACAAAGCATTGCATCCTGGTTCTTTGAAATCCCCATTGAATTTGGACAAATTATGTCTTGGCACTCAACCCATTTTCCTGGAACACAATGTGATGCTGACGACACAGCCCAGTCACTCCACTTGACAATAAATTTGCTTGTCTCATTTCACTTGAATATTCAGTGGTGAGTAAGAACAGAAGTGGAAAGCCTTACTTACTGCAGTTTATTATATGTTTCGTGCCCATGATAATTACTTTTATAATGCCATTCATGAATGCATTGATCAGATTAGGCTGAATCACCTGGCTGGCCAATAAGCATTGGAATGATTCTCCATGCATGACTTGGTTGCATTATTACAAAACGTGGCCGAGACCTGCCCAGCCATCGCAGCAGACGTTCATTTGTGATGCTGCCTTAAGGAGATGAAGAGATGAGAGCCAACTGTTCCAGCAGCTCAGCCTGTGCTGCTAACAGTTCAGAGGAGGAGCTGCCGGTGGGACCGGAGGCACATGGGAACCTCGAACTCGTTTTCACAGTGGTGTCCGCCGTGATGATGGGCCTGCTCATGTTCTCCCTGGGATGCTCTGTGGAGTTCCAGAAGCTCTGGGCACACATCAGGAGACCCTGGGGCATTGCTGTGGGACTCCTCTGCCAGTTTGGCCTCATGCCTCTCACAGCCTATCTCCTGGCCATCAGTTTCTCTCTGAAGCCCGTCCAAGCTATTGCCGTTCTCGTCATGGGGTGCTGCCCTGGGGGAACCATCTCCAACATTTTCACCTTCTGGGTCGAAGGAGATATGGATCTCAGGTAAGGTACACTAGGGAAGCCCGGAAGTCTCCCCCGATAGCCCTGACACCTTTGTGTTTAAATTCTGCTGATCTTTAGGTAGAGGTTCCAGTGCGTAGTGTTTTATGGAGTCTAGTCCTGGAAAAAAAGAAAGGACTTTCCTTTCTGAGCTTAAAATGTGCTGGGCTGTGATCATCCGCTGTGTTACTGGCAGCTGCTTCTCTGAGTAGTGGGGCTCGGTTCATGTGTAATAGTGGAGGCAGGTTTCCTCCTCCCTCGATGGCCCGTCCTAGGCATGAACTCATTCTCGCCCACACTGGCAGTGTTAACAGTCTCGGTTCCCAGTCTCCCAGGACATAGGCTGAGGATCCCAGAAAGCTCACGGCAGGGGTCTCTTTGGTGGTGGTGGGAGTGGTGGTGGCAGAACCGGAATGGCGCCCCTGTAGCTCTAGTCAGCAGGTGTTACCTTGACATCTATCTTATGAAGCAAGTATTTGAAAGCACTGGGTAAAGGGGCTTTTGGGGTATGTGACAGACATAGCCTGTTTTAAGTGCTGCTGGAGTTAGTTGAGTTGACCTGGGGAGCAACATCAAGACTTTCATGACTGAAAATGTTCTTTCTTGTTGGTTTGCAGACTAAACATTCATCATTAGCGTCTCATTCTTTTGGGTTAAGCCAGGGACCTTACCCAGTTGTGTAAATAAATGCTCTGTGGGAGACACTAGGCTTTATTATTCATTTACACTTTAATGAGGATGAATTAATCACATATCTTTGGGAGTACCTCTTTTGATACTGAAAAAAGGGCATTTGAAGAAAGAATAGAGGGAACGTTTGGGTGGCTCAGTCTGTTAAACATCTGCAGCCTTCAACTCAGGTCATAATCCCAGGTCCTGGGATCAAGCCCCGAGTTGGGCTCCCTGCTCAGTGGAGAGAATACTTCTCCCTTTGCCTGCTGCTCCACCCATTTGTGCGCTCTCTCTCTCTGACAAAGAAACAAATAAGATCCTTTTTTTTTTTTTTTTTTAGAGAAAGAATAGAGAAGGCACAGTTGGGAAAATAAAAGCAAAAAACAGTGGTCTTTCTAGATTCTTTGTTTACTTATGAACCATTTCACCTCCTATGCAAGGGGAGGATGAGTTATGAATGTAAATCTTTGCTCGATGTGTATGTCATGTAGTTGAGAGTTGGTGGTGCTGGGAGTTGGCATCAGTGGAGCAGCTATAGGTCTGGGCTTCCAGTTCCCTGCATGTGCTGAATGCTTAGCAGACAAACTGTTTCACCTGTGATTTTTAATGGGTTCATATTTTCATATGACAATGCTTTGAGTTACCCACTTATTGGGGGTTTGAAAAGAATCACTAATCCAAAAAAATACATTAATATGCACTGCTAATGCTGATTACATAAAGTTGATCATTAACATGAAAATTGGAAGATGAAAAGTATTCTTTATGCAGTCTACATATCAGTGGTAAGTTGTGGGGCCTAAATATTCTTGGAAAGGAAAAGGACATTGTATAAGTTGAGTGAGTATGTTGTGAGGCATGAGGTAGGTGCTTTCTGTACTCTTTCTCTTCTTTCGTGGTTCTCAATAACTTTGTAAGTGACCCTTTCTTATCCTGAGTGTTAACAGCTGAGAAAATGGGGACTCAGATTGGTTAAGGAGTTTGCCAAATGCTACAGCCAAGTATGGAATAAGGCAGATGGGAATTTACATCTGTTTCTCATCACCCTGCAATTTAGGCATTTTCTTCCATGCCATTTATTAACACAACTCGATCTTCTGTTCTCAGTAGGAGCATAAATCTTAAAGCAGTGGGGCACCGGGGTGGCTCAGTGGTTAAGCCTTTGCCTTCGGCTCAGGTCATGATCTCAGGGTCCTGGGATTGAGTCCCGCGTTGGGCTCTCTGCTCTTTGGGGAGCCTGCTTCCTCCTCTCTCTCTCTCTGCCTGCCTCTCTGCCCACTTGTGATCTCTCTCTGTCAAATAAATAAAATCTTTAAAAAAAAAATCTTAAAGTAGTGTTCTCAAACACTTCTGCTCTGGGAAAGAGAACATTTATTAACTTCATCTTTTATTAGTCGACATTGTAATAAAAGTACCAGTGAATAGGAAGTCTATAAAAGATAAAGCTCATTTTACTTCCTTTTGCCAACTCTGTCCTTAATTAGTTTCATGTTAGTCAAATTATTTAACCTATAAACCTCATCTCCTCATTTGTAAAATGGGTTACAATTACCTATTCCCCACAAGACTGTATTTTAAGGAGGAAATATACATTCAGGGTGCCAGGCACATGGTAGATACGTAATAAATATTAACTACTTCTCCCCCTTTTTAGAAATTTTGATTGTGAATCTCACAAACAAAAAATAAGCAAAAAAACAAAACAAAACCAAACCCTGTAAGAAACGAAATTTTAAAACGGTGACTAAACATTAGATTTTCAAAAGCTTATTGATACGAGTAACAAAAATCTTAATTCTCAGTGAAAATTGCAACTAGGAGAAAATTCAGTGTTCTTGATTGAGTGTCCAAATTCATTACATTTCTTCCCACTTGATTACCAACAAAAATAACTTTCAAGACAAAAAAAAAATCGGATAGTCCTTTGTAGCAATTCTGTTTTCATGCTAGATAAAACCTTAGGACTTTAGAAGAACATCTTTGTTTCACTAAAGAGGAAATTGAGGTCTAGCTTTGTGCAGATCGCCCAAACATATTTCTCATGCCTTAATTCTGTACTTCATTCAGTCTACCTGTAGTTCTCCTGGTGTTCACCCCAAGCAGGGCGTTTCAGAATCAACATGTATAAACCAGTTTCTGCATTTTGCGTGTGAGACAATAACACCCTCGCTGTCCCAGTCACCTGGGCTCATCACCTAAGCATTCCCCTGTGGCTCCTTTCATTCTTCAGCTAATTCACTCAATCCGATGTCTAGACCTGTGACCCATCCTCTTGTTTGTCACTCACAGCCAGTGCTTCCTCCTCCTCTCCACTGCCAGTTCCTTAGGGCAGGCCCTCATAATTCCTTTCCTGGCCAATTGCAGCATCTTCACAGTCTTCTCGCCATCTTGGGTCTCTCCACCATGGTTTTAGAGTATGTGGATGAGGCAGCTCTGGGGTCAGACTATCTATATTTAAATCCTGACTTGGTAACTCTTTCCTGTAACTGGAAATCATAACACTTTCCTATGGTATTGTAAACAGAAATGGACATGTTATGCATATAAAGGCTTCTCAACACCTAGAGACCTGGGTAGACATTAAGCCAGGTCTAACATACTTCTCCGGGTTTATTTCCTAATAAGCACAAACTAGTCTGTAGTGAAAATGGACTACTCACTGTTCTTTGAACATATCCCACACTTTCCCAACTTCCATTCCCTCACCTGGAATGCCTATTTGGTCCCTTCTAGTCATAATATTGTTCTTCATTATAATTGTTCTGGAAAGCAACAGGCTGGTGTATATATATGAAGAGCCTAAAAAGTTACCCTGTTCCTGGACTGAGCTCAGCTCATCTTGGCTAGGTTCTTTTACATGTGTGGGGACTGGATAAATGTAGATTGGTCTTGGATAGCCTCATCTGGGACTACTGGATTCTCTTCCAGAAGGTCTCTCTTCTCCAGCAGGCTAGCCTAGACCTGATCATATGATAGAAGCAGGTTCTGAAAAAGAGGAAGCATACAAAGTCTCTTGATATCTGGGCTGGAAACCAGTTCATCATCATTTTTACCGCATCCCATTGGCCAGTGCCTTTTGCAAGACCAGCCCAGATTCAAGGAATGGAGAAGTAGTTTCTGCCTCTTGATGGGTGAGCTGCAAGGTCAAATTGCAGAGGGCGTGGCTAAGAACAGGGTGAAGAATTGGGGACCTTTTTTTTTTTTTTAAGATTTTATTTATTCACTTGACACAGAGAGAGATCACAAGTAGGCAGAGAAGCAGGCAGAGACAGAGAGGAGGAAGCAGGATCCCCACTGAGCAGAGATCCTGTTGCGGGGCTCGATCCCAGGACCTCAGGACCATGACCCGAGCCGAAGGCAGAGGCTTTAACCCACTGAGCCAGCCAGGTGCCCCAGTTGGGGACCTTTTTACAATCTACTGTACTAAAGATGGACAGAATTCTTGCCTTTGAGGGTAAGACGTGAAAACTAGGATTTGGCATTATACTGTAATGCTTAAGTGCACCCTGGGGCCAGCAAGCAGAGCTGTCACTAACTGGGTCATCTTCACAGATTATATAAATTCTTTATGCTTCAGGGGCGCCTGGGTGGCTCAGTTGGTTTAAGTGTCCGACTTGACTTCAGGTCATCATCTCAGGGTTGTAAGAACTATCCCCGCCTTGGGCTCCGCATCCAGCGTGGAGCCTGCTTAAGATTCTCTGTCTCCCTCTGCTCCCCCTCCTCACTTGTGTGCTCTCTCTCTCTCTCAAAAATTAAAAAAAAAAAAAATTCTTTATGCTTCAGTTTCCTCACTTCTAAAATAGGGGGAAGCATAACCTGCCTCATGGGTTGTACTGACGGTTGAATGAATATACATGAATTGCGTAGAATCTCAGCCGGCATGAAATGCTACGCATCTTTTTAAGGGGCCGGCAAAAGAGCACCGTGTCAGGGTCTGTGTTTTCGTCTCTGCTCAAGAAGCTGTGTGACTTTGAATAATTGCTTCTCTGGACCTCAATTTCCTCTTTTGTAGAATCAATGCATTAGACTCTCTAAGGTCCTTTTAAAATGTATAGAACATAAAATCGACCATTTGAATCATTTTCAAGGGTACAGTTCAGTGGCATTATTAGTCCACTGCCGTTGCTGTGGGTCAGCAGCGGCCGTCTCTCCATAGTTCTTATCTTCTCAGACTGAAACTCCGTACTCCTTACATGATAACCCCCTTCCCCTTCAGACCCTGTCAACCACGATCTCCCTTCTGTCTCTTTGAATTGGACTAAATGTCTCATCTAAGTGAAATCGTACAATATCTGTCCTTTTCTATCTGACTTATTTCACTTAACATAATG